TTTTAATACTTATATTTGCGGGGTTGTCACTTTTTCCTTCTCATACAAATATCAGAAATTGTTCAATTTATGATTTTTCGCTTTTGTCAACGTCGAGAAAAGACGCTTGTAGGCAAAGGCGTGACCGGGGAGATGTCATGTTATTTGTTTTTATGAATGAAGGCAAACTTGGCCTATTGAAAGTGCGCTTGCGTTCGTGGATGGAAATATTGTTGTTGTGTACTTTTCTACAAATTTGGACATCGACTATTTGGCTGCCATATTGACTTGTGACGCTGCTGATGCTATTAGAGACGTTTGTTGCTTTTGCAGAACAATATTTCTAGTTTTTGCCGGCGACATACATATCTACATGGGAACGCATATAAGTATGTATGTTGTGTACGCATTATTTGTGTGGGAATGTCAGACGCACATATTTACATGTGTACGCATATAAGTATATTGGTTTGGGTATGCGTTAATTGTCCGGCAATGTCGTACACATATGCATATGGATGTATGTACATGATAAATGATAATATCACGATTTGAATTTGAATTGTACTTACATATGTATGTAACTATGTGCTGATATGTAGATACGTAAAATACGTAAAATTGAAATGAAATGCGATTTACATATAATATTATTATAATTTATTATAAGAAGTTGTTTAGGATGTTATGATAGTATGTCATATTTGTATATACATATATAGCATATCTACATACTCATATGTAAATTTATAATATATTATCAAACATATGAAATATTTAAAAAGTAACTCTTATTTGTACATTAACTACAAATGTTACTTTGAAAATAGCATAATTTAATGATGAAGTTATCAATTTTGCATGCATTCACAAAAACTCGCAAAATTATATTCAATATCAACTAATATGATTGCATGTAAACGCATAGAATTATATGCAAAAGGCTAACATACGTCTGCAATAAGAATGTATATTTCTGAGCATAATTTTCATTGAATGCTCAGCTCTCTTCACGCTCCACTGTTAAGATTTCTCCTTCTTAGCTAGATGTGGTGAAACACGCTCATCGCATTTTGTTATCTTTTGACGGTTCACACGCTTGTCTGTTGTTGGACCTTCTCTATAAATATACCTTCTCTGCTTATATCATTTAAAACAAAAAAAAAAAAAATATTATTTAGTTATATATATAATAACGGCAATATTACGATTCTTTCGACGCCGCGATTTGATTTTACGGATGAATAGAGGACGTCCTCAGGATTAAAAAATGTATACACATATGCCGTCCTCAGAGTCACAGTTTTCGAGATATTTCACTTTAAAGTTCAAAAGTTTGTAAAAACAATGTTCGTTATTTCACTATGTTTAACCCACTTTTCACTCATTTTTTATTTAATATTACATATATTTAATTACAAGTACACATTCGTACAGTGTACACTAATTGTATTTTTTTTTAAGAAATAAATATACTTTAATAACTATTTTGCACATTCAAAGTTTCAAGAGATTTGCGTGTTTACATTTATGACAAAAGCAGTGTTGCCATACTTTGTGTCCTGAAAATATAATCAAAAATCTGTTTCATATTTAGAGATATAAATGAAAAAACTTATTATAGAATGCAAAGTTTTTCAGTATTTTTCTCCTTTCGATTAATATAGGTTTTCGATAGATGAGGGTTATTTTTTTTGAAGAGCAGCCGTAGGCCGCCTGTGCAGAAGGTAGTTCGACACAAAAGGACTATGATCACCCCGGTGTTGGACCGATCAGGGTTATTTTTTTTATTTATCAAAAATTGTTTAATAGTTTTTTCAAAACACAATATGTGGCAACACTGGCATTTGTCATGACATGTAAAGAAAAACAAAACAAAACAAAATAAGAGTGAATTGCAAATAAAACTGTGGAAATTTAAAGTTAAATATCTTGAAAACTATGAGTCTGAGGACGGTATATGTGTACACATTTTTTAATCCTGAGTCCTCCTCTATCCATCCGTACCATCAAATCGCGGCGCCGAAAGAATCGTGATCGTGACATAATAACAATTGCACGAGTTCCTTTTAGATTGTATGAACATGTTTTTTATGGATTTATGGCAAAACGTAATATAGTTTTCGGGTAGGCTTTAGTACATATAAATAAATGTGTACAGACGAGTTAGTGGATATAAAAGTGCAAAAATAATTTTATATCGAGAAAATACGTTGAAGTAATTTTCAACTTTAAACGCGAATATCTCGAAAACTATAAGCTTTCTGCGGCTATAACTATATACAGGGTGGCTGATGAATTTTGCTACATTAAGAAACTCAAATAATTTATTTTTCAGTGTATGGAATTAATTTTTCTTTTATTCACGTTAAAGCTCATTCAATTTTTTTAAATATAGCTTAATTAGTTTTAAAAATAATGGAATTTAAATGCCCCCCCTGCTCGTTGATGCATGTGCGGCATCTTACCAAAAATTTGTTCATTACTGCTCGGAGAGTTGAGACAGGAATGGCCGCAATTGTTTCTCGAATAGATTGCCTTAGTTCATTCAAATTTGTTGGTTTTGCTTTGTAGACTTCCTGTKTGCAATAACCCCACAAGAAAAAGTCAGGTGCAGTAAGGTCAGGCGACCTGGGTGGCCAACGGAATGTGGAGTTTCTTGATATCAGCTTATTGGGAAATTTTCGTCGCAATTTTGGCATAACAGGTTGGGCTATGTGAGGAGCTGCACCATCTTGCTGAAACCACACAGAGTTGAAAGAAACTCTCTTTCGGCGTAATTCTGGATAGAAAAACTCTCTCAACATGCTCAAGTAACGGKCTYCAGTAACCGTAACGRTGTGACCGTTTTCTTCGMAGAARTARGGCCCGACAATGCAGCGTGATGAAACTGCACACCACACTGTGATACGAAGTGGATGCAATTCCGCCTCATGGAGTATCTGTGGGTTGGAAGCACTCCATATTCGACAATTTTGTTTGTTTATGTTGCCGTTTAAATCGAAATGGGCCTCGTCAGACATGAAAAGACAGTTCAACATGTTTCCATCCTCCTCCACCATTTGAAGCTTATTCTGGCAAACTTCCAAGCGAATCGGCAAGTCTGCAGCGTTCAGTTTGTTGGCCATTTGAATTTTATATGGGAATAAGTCCAAACCTTTGTGCACAATTGACTTTAATGACTGTCTGCTTACACCCATTTGAGCAGATAAGCTTCTTGTCGAAACACGTAGATTGTTTTGCATGGCAGCAGCTACAGAGGCGATTGTTTCCTCCGTTCGAACTGAAGGGTTTCGATGTTAAGGTCTTCTGTTGACTGTCCCATGCTCGGCAAAATTGTTTACAAGTATCATTATGGTCCATCWGCTCGGAGGATTGCCTCCAAACGTGCGCCTATATTCTCTTCGAACCGAAACTACGGACACCTGTGCGTGATAGCGGCGGACAATCCAAATTCTTGTTTCAGCGTAAATGTTAAAGTCAATCTGCAAAATAAAAAAAAAATTAACCAGATTTATTAAATAGAAAAAAAGGTATTTAATTTTTTTTTTTTTTGGTAGCGGCTTTCATCATCCACCCTGTATATTCGTAATGTGGAGAGTGTCTTCTATCCGACTAAACCCATTTTATTGCCGAAATCCTGGGATGGTATACTAAAGTCTTCCCATGGGGTACGTACGGATAGAGGAGCTTCTCCAGAGAAGGAATATGTTGCGGGTATATTTTAGAATAGCATCCCCGAATTTCGGGGTCATCCAAATCAAGAATATACATATATACGTATAGTGGAAGCCGGTTTATGGTTTTTGAGATATTTGCATTTAAGGTTGAAAAATTCATCTATTTACAATGCGTGTTTTTCCCATTTATAATGAATTTTATTGTTATATTTTATACTTTTATATCCACCAACACTTCAGTAAATCGTTTCTACTCATTTATTTTATATTAAATAGTGCAAAATAATTATTATTCAACATTTAACTTTTGTTCGTTTATTTTTTTCGTACAATAACAAAAGGGTTGCATTCTAACTTATAATCAGTATTACCTTACGTTCATATTTTACATAAGAACCTAAAGAAATAAAGAAAACAAATAATATCCCAATGACAGGAAATATACTATATAACATATTAGTTATTAGAATTCCTTTCTGCATTGATAGCATTCGTCCGCGTTTCAAAAAAATAACTCTCCGTCTGACCAACACCTAGGCGTGCTCAGTTCTTTTGCGTTGATCTCCGTTTTGCGTTGGCGGCTTTCGGCCGCGCTTCAAAAAAATAACTCTCGTCGGACCAACACCTTTGCGTGCTCAGTTTTATTGCGTTGAACTTCTTTTTGCGTTGGCGGCCTTCGCCCGCGCTTCAAAAGAATAACCCTTGTTCAGACGCCTGACCTGAGCCTGCTCAGTTCTATTGAACTTCTTTTTGCCCATCCATCACCGGGATTTATAAAGGCAATGAGAATTCTTAAAGATTTTACATTACTCATCACTAATTTAGTTATGACGTCATAATCTTTAATTTTTCTTATTTTTATTCCATTACAAAATATGGTAATACTAATTCTTTGCTTGTTTACAACCACTTTCTTATTTTATGAAGAAATGGAAATGGAATAAAGTTTGATAAGGAATTAAAGTTATTTTTGCACTATTTAATATTAAATAAATGATTAGAAACGAATTAGTGTTAGTGGATATAAAAGTATAAAATATAAATGTGAAAAGCATTATAAATCGGAGAAAGACGCATTTTAAATAGTTGATTTTTTGAACTTTAAATGCAAATATGTAAAAACCATAAGTCATCGGCAACTATATGTGCATATATTCTTGATCTGGAGGACCTCCTCTAGCCGTACATACCCATTTTATCACCGAAGTCCTGGAATGCTATGCTAAATCGCAGCCCAAAAATTATATCAAGATGGATGGATATTCTCTCTTTTATGAATGTATTGCAACTTGAAAATAGTTTCTTTGATTGTGTAAATTCCGGATAAGTTTTTTATATTTTGCAGCTCAATTGGGATGATGCAATAAATTTATCCAGGCAACATCTATTGCCTGTGAAGATACCCCTATACACAGTATCAAAATTTTCGACATACAGCTTAATTAAACAAAACTACTTATAAGTATTTACGATTTTACATAGACTTTTTTTTTTAAATCTTCGTCACATTGAAATGAACGACAAAACTATTAAATTGTTGGTTATCGGAGAAAGTGGAGTTGGAAAGTCAAGGTAAAAAATTTGAACAAGTGTGTAAAAAGACAATGAAGTTAATAAATGTATGTAAATTCGGCAGCCTCATTCGTCGATTTGTTGAAGATAAATTTGATGACAATCACGATGTAACTATTGGCATGGATTTCAAAAGCAAAGTTATAAATATTGATGGCCTTGAATATAAATTAGCGCTTTGGGATACTGCAGGTGCTGAAAGATTCCGAAGTCTCACTCCCAGCTTTTATAGAAAGGTATAGAAAAACTCATTGAATGATATCAAAATATAAACAATAAATGTTTACTTTATTGTTCTAGGCGTTTGGAGCTGTATTAGTGTATGACATCACTAACCGCGAATCATTAACCAAATTAGAAGCGTGGCTTACAGAGCTTGAAAATTATAGTGACAATCCAAACATCGTTACTATAGTAGTAGGAAATAAAGTCGATAAAGAACGTGTTATTAGCCGTGAAGAAGGTTTAAAATTCGCTCGAAAACATAGAGCTCTTTTTCTTGAGGCGTCAGCAAAGGGTGATCAATTTGTTGCAGACGTTTTCAAAGAAATAGTTGCAAAGGTAAATAACGAGATATCTTTTTCAGTTGCAATATTTGGCAGGTTGCGTTTTCAAAATCATTGAATTCGTGGTTAGTTGTTGTTGTTTTACCAAGACAGATTGCATAGCCGTATAGGCTTGTGTTGCAGTATTGCGCAGGCAACATGGGGTCACGTAACGCGTGGTCGACTGCCTGTGAGTTTTAAGGCCTGAGCAGGTCTCAAGATGGCTCCATCCATTGCATGTATTACACCTGACCGAGGTGGAGTTTGGATGGAGCCATTTTGCGCATATGCAGCAGAAAAATTCCTCCGGGCCCGGGTTGGACTCAATGCCAGCACGAGTCAGGAGGATACGGAGCAACCTGCTACAATTCGTTGCTCCAATGATGACAAACACAAATTAGTACTCACCGATCCAAACGGAGTTAGATCGCCGAAAAACAGCCCTTGGTCGGGTAAAATCCGAGTCAATTCCGGTACGTTGAACCGGCTGTCGTGGGAATTGAATTTATGGTTAGTTTGTGCTAGTGATGGGCATTAATATATGTATCAAAACACCGAAAAATCAAAATACTGACAAACCAAAAGGCCGATGTGTGAAAAATATTTTATCTTGTCGGTCCTTATTTCTATCGAAGAACAGAAAGATAATTCTACTGTTTAAGGGTTATGATCCTGAGCGAACAACGCGGCCTTTTCTTTATTTGCCTGTATTGTGATTTGTCGATATTTTGACTGTCGGCATTACCCTATACACTCAAAATATGAGGTGTCGTTACGTAGTCCATAAAGAGTAGTCACAGGAGATGTTCCGTTATTTCACTGGTGCCTTGCTCTTGACATTTTTTGAAGTCTTCTCGATCTATTGGTCCCCATTCTTGATTGTGTGCAGTGAGTTTTCCAACAATGTTTCTTCAGTTCCTTCTATTGGGTACCTTTTGAGCTTTGTAGGTCGTTCCATTGCGTTTTGATCTTCCATGCAATGTTTCTATCCAAATCCTAGAATAGACAATGCAATAGTTAATAAATGTCGATCATGTTTTCGGATGACAGTCGTACAGCACTCTTGTCTACTATCTCATTACCTCTATGTTTTAGTCCTGAAGTGAAGTCGGTCTGGCTACACTTCACTGCTGCCGTGCTTTTCAAGACACTTCTGATGATAAGCGATATGAGGTCATAGCCTTAATTTAAGCATTTACCTCTGCTTGAAATATATTGCATTTTTTTGACAGCTTAAAGGCTACTTTATACCTAACTCTGGACAGTATATCCCCGAACCAAAGATATACATTGATGGAGAAAGGAAGTAGTAAAAACGTAAAACCAAAAAGATTTTAATTTTATTGAATGTTTGTGAAATGGCAGAAATTGTTCCTGATACCCGGTTGTTGATGTCCAAGTAAATCCAGTGGATAGTTTAACTTTTATGTAATAAATCGGCACTGATATTAATATTTTATAATAATAATGGTGTATTCTTATAATCATCCTAATTAATAGAAAATTAAAAACATTTTTATTGTTGTAGATTGTGACATCGGAGTATTATTATTATTCCCAATATGGTGGTACAATTGACGTAGGTGCCGGGGAAGAGACGGGTGCATCAAATTGCATATGTTGATATTTGTTTACAATACACACTGTATGTAATTTTGTAAAAACAGTATATATGTAAGTCAAGTAATCATCTATTTATAGAAAATTTGTATTTGGTTAGTTTATTGATTAAAAATAAAGAGCATATAACAAATATATAATATACAAAAGTTTTTGTCCTAAACCTCGAACTTTGAAATTTTTATTCATACTGCAATGTTCTGTTTTTCCTTTTACAGCATAAAATATTTTCCAAAGGCATTCCTTTTTTAGTTAGTGAACTTATGTAGTTGCCTCGGTTGCCTTTGCATTTCCTATTAAAAAACCAACTCTTCTCACATCCTTGCTTCTATATGCGATTTAGTGGAATTTATGGAATAATTGTAGGAACTGTAATGAATTACAGGAATTAAAAAAAAAAAAAGGTTAACTTTGGTTGCACCTAAAAACCCTTCACAAGCGCATGTGTTCAGTTTGTATGGGAGCTATATGCTTTAGTAATCCGTTTTGAAAAATTTTTTTGTTGCCTTAGAAAATAATATATACCAAATTTCGTGAATATATCTTGTCAAATGTGGAAGTTGTCCATACAAGAACTTGATTCCGATCGTTCAGTTTGTATGACAGCTATATGCTATAATTAACCGATCTGAACAATTTCTTCGTAGATTACATTGCTGTCTTAGAAAATAATACATACCAAATTTCGTGAATATATCTTGTCAAATGTGAAAGTTTTCCACACAAGCATTTGATTCCGATCGTAAAAATGAAAGGYTAGTTCGTATATATATATACAGGCGGACATGACTAAATCGACTCAGCTCGACATACTGATCATTTATATACATATATACTTTGTAGTTTCTCCGACGCTTCCTTCTGGGTGTTACAAACTTAATATACCCTGTTCAGGATATAAACACAATTAAAGAAAGCCCTACGAGTGCAAGAGCCCGAAATATGGTTATGTATAGTACTAGATTCCAGCATAGGAAAATTCATCAAGCTACCTGGCTGTCTCCGGATCGAAAAGCCACCAACCAGATCGATCATGTTGTGATAGATGAAAGGCACGTCTAGAGTGTTTTTGACGTGCGTACGCTTCCAGACCCTAACATCGATTCTTGTTGCAGACAAGATACGCACCCGCCCCAGTGCACCAAAAAAACTCACGTCAACAAACACAAGGAAGGTTCAACGTAGAAAAGTTGCAATCACAACAGACAGCAAAAAATTATTTCTCCCCGGCTTGCACTCCTTCTCCTAAGAGCACTCAAGAACAACTCTTTAGAATGGAATTGTGAGACGGCATTGCAAGCTCCTTATGTACAGATGCAAACGAAACTATTGGTTTTCGGAAATTTCAAAAGAAGAGCTTGAACGATGAGGAGTGCCGTGTAGCATTAGAGAGAAAACCGAGGGGTTAAATGACAGTGAAAGTATAACATCAGTAGATGGTGAACCCAATTTTACAATCGATGACGATGGAAGTCAGCAACTTATTCGCTGCTTTCTTTAAAAGTGTATATCAGACCGAGGTACAGCAGCCAGGATTTGTCCAGGATTTTCATCATGATCGCCTACACGCGACTTTAGATAACTTTGAGGTTACCACTGACAATGTCTTTAGAGCACTTTCATCATTAAATCCTAAAAAAGGTGCGGGTCCTGATGGAATCCACAATATTTTTCTCAAAAACTGTGCAGCAGGACTTTGTGAACCACTAACACACATCTTCAACGTCTCACTACAACAGGGTGCCTTCCCTACAATATGGAAACTTTCATATGTTAGCCCGATACACAAAGATGGACCCAAATCAGAAGTCTCAAACTATAGACCAATATGTATTCAGTCTGCGCTAGCGAAGTTATTTGAAAAACTAGTCTTACCTCTGCTGAGTTTATTCTTTACAGACATTATTACCAATAGACAACATGGATTTACTCGCGGGAGGTCGACATCATCAAATCTATTTACATATGTCAACTATGTACTTAGTGAAATGAACAATGGGCACAGAGTACATGCTGTTTACACTGATTTTAGTAAGGCCTTTGACAGAGTTAATCACAGCATTTTATTGAATAAACTAAATTCGCTCGGCGTACAAGGTAATGCCCTGAAATGGCTCAGCTCCTACCTAATAGATAGACAGCTCCAAGTCAGAGTAAACGGTCACCTGTCTGCAAGTTATGATGTAAAAACAGGAGTACCACAAGGATCACATCTTGGACCTGTCCTGTTTAACATATTTATCAATGATATTGGTACGAACTTCAGCTCGGAGTACTTTCTTTACGCCGACGATTTGAAAATATGCAGAGCGATAGTAAACGACTCAGATATCCAGGCACTTCAGCACGATATAGATCAGCTCTCTGCATGGTGTCTCAATAAAAAATTAGATCTAAACATAAAGAAATGTGCAGGGATCTCTTTCTCGCGTTCACATACCACGCACCCCACCAATTACATGCTGAACAACAAAGTAATCTCTGAAGTAGAGGACATAAAGGACCTGGGCATCATTATAGACAGCAAGCTGACATTTACGAAGCATATCAGTAAAATAACTTTACAAGCACACAAGATGTTGGGCTTCATTACCAGAACTTGCAGAGATTTTGCTGATCCTCGATCACTTCTCACTTTATACTACTCACTAGTCCAACCAATCCTGGAAGACGGCTCAGTTGTTTGGTCTCCATATACAGACACTCTGATCAGTAGAGTTGAGAAAGTCCAGAGAAAAATGTGTAAGACATTAATTTATCATCGTGCCCAGCCAACGCGGAACATCTCTATGGAGGAAATCTGCTGTCAGTACAAAATTAATAGTCTTAAGTCACGCCGTCAAATTGCTGATCTGGCCTTTTTCTATAAAGTGGTGAATGGACTTATTGATGCACCTGAGATCAACAGTAGTTTCGAATTTGCACCTGTAAACTTAACACTAAGACGCAAACGTCTGCTTAAAATCACTAAATCCACTAAAAATTATGTTGTGAATGGACCGCTCAATCGCATTGCAAACCTTGTCAACTCGCTACACAACGACCTGGATTTCTACGGAGGAACATACAGTAACTTCATCACAGCCACGAAGAACAAGCTACTCGACTATCATTGATTAATCAAACTTGAATTTTGTAACTAATATTATACTTGTCTTGTTATATTTTCCCTTATATTAAATATTAATTATTCAAATGTATATTGCCGATTGGCGTTGGTTTAAATAAATAAAAAAAAAATAAAATAACCTCCTCAACATCGCATATATATAGTTTTATCGAGCGTATTATGTGAACTAAAGCCCAGTGTCGTTTGGCCTGAAAAATCAGCAAACTGACCAGATATTGACCTTGCACCAGATCATGGAAAATACCAGTAAAAAGAGGATCAACACATCCCAGCTCTTCGGCCATTTTAAAACTGCTTTTAACAGCACGAAAAGAAGCTACCTTTATGCCGCTATGTCTGAATTTGGTATATCCGCAAAATTAACACGGCTTAAATTGACCATGAGCAATACTAAAAGCTCTGCCAGTTTCAAGAAGACAAAACCATTTCCTATCGTGTGACTTCTTCAATCCACTCCTGTAGAATATAATTCAAGTTGAGGAGCTGAACAGAAAAGTACAATTTTCTACAAAGAGTGTACAGCTGTTGGCGAACGCCATAACAGCGTCGCTGGTTCTGCTTTCTCTACACTGGATAAATGTGTAAAATGGGTGTGATAAATGAGTGTGGTAGTGAACGAGGGCAAGACGAAATATCTCCTGTCATCAAACAAACAGTCGTCGCACTAGCGACTTAGCTCTCACGTCACAGTTAAAAGTCATAACTTCGAAGTCGTAGATCATTTCGTCTATATTGGAACCAGTATCAACACCAACAATACCGTCAGCCTCGAAATACAATTCAGAATAACTCTTGTAACCAGGTCTTACTTCGGACTGAGTACCCAATTGAGATATAAAGTCCTATCTCGACCAACAAAGACCAAATTCTATAATCACTCATTAATCCCGTCCTGTAATATGGTGCAGAGGTATGACGGTGATAACATCTGGTGAATCGACGTTATAGACCTTTGCGCATTGGCCACGGCGAATACCACATTCGATGGAACGATAAGCTGTATGAGATATAGGACAACATTGAAATAGTTTAGCGTTTAGTAATAAAGGTATATATACCTTATCTATATATATCTAAATACAAAAAAAAAAAAAGCTATGAATATTATATCTAAAAACCGATATATTTCATATCAGGTTTATTTTTATTTTATTTATATAAATATGCAACTTAATATTACACAAATTATTTACCTATCCCAATTTTTTTTGCATCTACTTCATAAATCAGCAATCTCCACATTTTAACAACGAATACTTCTGCTTCTTCGTCTAGGACCTAAATAAATATATTTCTTTATATATCACAATATTTAAAATTCCCTAAATATTACTTACCATTTGCACATCATCCAAAATGCTTTGAGGTGAACTTCCAGCAAGCACCTTTGAACATATAAAATCCACAAGAGTCGGTTCGGGCTCCCCAATATATTCAATAATCTTTTTATTTATCCATGGCCGAATTTTTCGTTCCATAAGGTTGTTGTCGATTTCATTTCGATCAAGTTTATAATTAAACAAATCCTCCTTTTGTGTAGGAATCCTGTCAATAATGCTCTTAATATGACGCCGTTTTTCATCATGTATCCTAGTATTATTTTCCTCCTTTTTGTTATTCACTGTTTCTTGACTGGCAGTATCATTCTTACCATGTTTTTTCGAATTAAGTTTTCCGATATTTGAATTTTGGCGGTCTGTCTGTGCTGTACTTCCTCCACTTCTTGATTGATTGTCATCATAATCTATGTTAAAATAATACAATTTAATCTTTATGTTAATGCGAGAAATTGTCAAAAAGCAAAATATGTTACCCAATGGAACCAATTTCCGTCTCTTTGAGTTATTTTCATCGTCCATATCCTCGTCAGCGTTAAAAACTCCTGTCGCCTCAATTTTCTTTTTTTTTGAGTTAGCACCTAAATTAAGACTAATAACGGTTGCTTGTGTGGGCGGCGTGGTAACATCTGTCTTCTGAGATCTGGAATTGGTTACACTCTGTAATGTGGTCGATGGTGTCGAGCTGGTTGCATGAGTATTCACGACAGGTACAAAATCTCGTGACTCAGAACCATGGCGACTGTAGTTGGTCTCTATATTTGACGTGGAATCAGCTCGAGAATTCGCATCGTCGTTTGAAATTGACTCTATAGAATATGATTTTGATAGAGCATTTATTTCTCCTTCATCGTTTGAATTAACATCAAGTAAGAGTCGTTTGCTTTCAATTGATTGTAATTTTTCTCTAATACGCTCCTTCTCACGTTCTTTCCGTTGAATATTTTCCAAATTTACATCAATTAATATTTGAGGTTTATACAATTTTTCGTGTTCCTTCTTTGCCCTCTCATATTCTTGTGAAGGATTCTCATATTCCCCACTGAATATTTTATTTCGCAGTTCTTCCAATTCTTCCTGTTCTTTATTGCGATCCTTAGCGTCAAGATCTGCTTCTCGGACGCGATCTCCTAACCTTCTCTGCAGTTCTCGACCTCTGCAAGAACACAGTAAATATAGATTTAAAAAATATTTACACAAATTTTTGTCAATAAAAATTTTTACGCCTTACTTATAATATTTATGATCATCTCTTTCATCATCATAGTCTTCAACGAATTCTTTAAGTCTTTTGGCTTCCTTCTCACGCTCTTCTAGTTTCATTTTATCCTTAATTCGTATCTTTTAATAACATATGTTAAGAATATTTTTAATAAATTTACACTTCATGCACTGTCATATTTCCATACCTTTTCGTACTCTTTCGCCTTTCGTTTTTCCCTTAACTCCCAGTTTTTTAGTCTTTCTTGGTAAGCTTCTTCTTTTTCTCTGGCCTTTTTTTCAGCTTTCTTACGTTCTCTTAGTTCTTCCTCAACTTCTTTTTCTCTTTGTAGATCTTTAATATTTTTTACAATTTTTTCTTCTCGTTCCCTATGTCGAAATAATATAAATAAATTTGGTTACAATCCTATGAATACATAAATTAGAAAAAGTACAGTAAAATTAAAAAAAAAATACACTTTATAAAGTAATTTTACTAAAAAATAACTTACGAATAAATAAATTATTATTATAGTGTAGTATATCACAAAATATGTGGTTAAGGGACCCTTCTAAATATATGTACCTTTCTCGTTCTCGTTCACGTTCACGCTCTCTTTCTCGTTCCCTTTCACGCTCCTTTTCTCTTTCTCTTTCTCTTTCACGTTCACGTTCACGTTCGCGTTCTCTTTCACGTTCCTTTTCACGCTCCCGTTCCCGCTCTCGCTCTCTTTCGCGTTCCCTGTATTCTCGGTCACGTTCTCTTTCGCGCGAACGAGACTTACTTCTTCTTCTTCTGCTTTCCCGTTCCTTATCCTTTCTGTTGGGTGACACGCTGCTGGAGTGGCGGTCCTTTCGACTGGTCACTCTTTCGACTTTATCAAGTGGGACCTTTTTTTCTGTAGCATCCCAATCTTCGTCACTTATATCGTCTTTAATAACATCAGGTTTTCGATCCTTTTCTCTTTCTTTTTCATATTCTCTATCCTTATCCTTCTCCTTTTCTCTCAATTTTTCTTTTTCCTTTTCTTTTCTGTGTTCATCGGCCTCTGCCCTTTTTCTGAATTTTCCGATTTCGCTGCTAATCAAATTTCTCTTTTCCTCTTCTAGATTAGTTTCGTTAAGGACTTTTGTCATTTTATCTTCCGTCCGAGCCATTTTAGATTTATTTATTCTACCTCCGAATACGTCACCACGAGAATTGGAATCAAATTCATCGAATTCATGCTTATGCTCATCAAGTATTTTTCTCATTTGACTAAGAACATAATCATCTTCTGATTTCTCGTCTACCGCAGAAACATTGATTCCGTTTTTCAATTCTTCTTCCTTGTAATTGTCTAAAAGAAGTTTATTTTTCGCATCAACTTTAGCCACAAGTTTCTTCCCATCTAATTCCAGTTCACTTAGAAGACGTACTGCTCGCATACCCGCATTAGGCCCGCTATAAATTTAAAAAATAAAATTCAATTATATTCTGCATTTTATAATTTACAACTTAAGTCTTACTCATATTCACAAAAACCAAAAGTGGAAACTCGTTTCCAATTCACCACTACACCACAAGCTGCCAATATTCTTTTGATCAACGCTTCAGGCACTCGTTCACTTATATTTCCTGCAGTAAAATAAGTATTTCAATATAAATAGCATAATGTTTTTTTCTACACTTACCCACAAAAACCGTAATAATTGGACCACGAAACTGGGGAACCGGATCAGGTAAACGTTGGTAAACTGTGGGCTGGGAGCTGATAGTAGCAGAACTTCTATAATTCCTTGCTGATGGTATAGGAGGCATCATCTATTTATCACATAATATAATTTCATATATAAGATTTAGAATCTTTGATATACAACTTACATGAGGAGGTGGTATAGTCGGATTCATATAAGGTGGTATAGGTGCGCGAGATGGGTACGACATAATGCTTGGAGTAATTTGTTAAACTGATTACTTCAATATTACAGCAAATTCTTTTTAAACACCGGTGACTTCTATGTAATTCAATTCAAAAACCGTTCAGTATTGTTAAAAAGTTTTTAAATTCAATTATATTTTCACGCACACATTTTTACAAAAATCAAAGATTTTGCCACACACTGATTGCCTTCTTATTTCTATCAAATGATGGCGGACAAACTAAATGATGCCACATTACTAAAAAAAAGATATGCAAGGAAAAATTCCGGTAACGATTACATATCAAGTGTTGCCAGATTCATGTCCTAATTACTTATTAAAAAAAAGAAACCACAACACCAGGGATAAATTTATTTATCTCTGTCACACTATAATTAAATTTTCTATGGTTATGTGTCTTGATATCGTTTTCTTATGTCGATAATAGTTTTTAATCCATATTGGCAAATCAGCTTTTCTGTATTTCTCTCATGAACTTCTCGTTTTATTTTCAGTTTTCGCGGGAAAAACGAATTTTTTGAGGCTGGAATGTTTGTTAGCAGAAATTAGCAAACTAATACTAATAAGTTGAATTTGAGAATGGCATCATAGCAACTTTTTTTAATTAATCTTTGGAATTTTCATATCCCGAATTCAATAGAAATACGGTCAAAATATTTGTTACTATTTTCCTTAATAACAAATCCACCAGGTATACGCGAATTAACGTGAAAAATTATGGATGTCTTACAAACCATCTGACCACCTGACTGAACATTATCCATGACGGAACTTTGCGAGATTTTACGTACAATAAAACCCTATTCATCTACAACTTTCCTCAAGATGCGTGACAGTTCATACCGAAACTTCGAATCGGAGGGTAACACATTTTTTTTTACAAAAAATGGCGACTGTCGTTAGACCAAGCGTAAAGAGATAAGAGCGGCCAACATTGTCTTCGTGATGAAAATATTTAATATGAAGGTACTCATTTTAAAGCATACTTCGACCTTTTTTGTCAAGGCAAATGTCTGAGGCAAAGCAAAGCTTTAATGTGAATTGGCCATAAATCAGCACTGAACTTGTTTACAGCGCAATTCGGTAAGCAGTCTCTAGTCGCTTTTGAGACATTTTGAAGTAAAGCCTGAATTCGTTACTATTCACTAAACAGCAGATTAGATCCGCTCGTTTACAATTGAGAGATTTTTGTGACTATCACGCACTGAATTGCAAAATAGTTGAGAGTCAAAAATTTGTGTCCAACGGGGCATCTCGACTTTAATGTTTAAATCTAGTACTTTGATGCAGAGAGATTTTAAATTAAAGATGTCTTGTGCAAATATGTCAGTCAATATAATAGGGGTATTCTCTTGATCTTGCAAAACCCCTGCACGATGCAAGAATTGCAGATTTTGCCACTTAATACAACGAACACACGCAAAAAAAAATTTGCAAGGGATGTAAAATACGTCAGACCAAAACCTATGTTTATTTGCGGGCAATGTCACGCAAAAATATAATTGCAACCCTGGTTTAGCTGTTATTTTACATAAAGTCATATTTTGACGTTAAATTGTTGACGAAGGTAAATTTTAAATCGATTTCATACTTTCTATTTAAATTATAAAGATTTGTTACAATTTTCTTTGTTAAAAATGTATGCAAAAGTTGCGCCAATTCACAATAGCCATGCACAATAGTCATTTGAAATAAATTGACCGAATCAGCCGTTCCTATATCATTAGATTCTGTAATGGGTGCTCTCGTGCCCTTGTATATTTCGGTATAGGATTTTTGCAATCTGCAATTTTGCAAGAGCAAAAGAATCCCCCTAATAATTATTATTTTGGACGTTAAGTGTTTGAGTCTTGCAAGTTGTAAGAGTATTAAATGCCTATTCTTTTACGTAATTTTTTTACCTTCTATATGTTTGAGTTGCTTACAAAATATAAAAACCGACATTAGATATGTAATATATCTATGTTGATCTTTATAAGTGAAGTGTCATGTGCTGAGCACAATGACCGCGACAAACTGCAGCAGCACGACAGTGAACTGAAAATGGCATTGTGAACCCTACTATATGAACATTTAAATAGAAGGCAGCAACATAACAATGGCGGTCATATACGCAGGGCAACACAGCTCACTATTTTGCACTAACACAATTTCGTTGTGGCCATACTAATACCTTTCACTTCAATGAAATTTTAATATTTTGTTCAAAGTGAAATTTTGTATGCAAAAAAGAAACAAATAGGTAAATACTTTTGTGTGAAATTATCAATTGTTATTACAAATGTTATAATGATATAGCTTTAATAGAACTATTTTATGATTTTATTTGTAAAATAACGTCAAGTTTGTAAGAGCTGTAAATGATTTTACATTTTACATATTAGTAGCACCACCACTCTACCTCATCTCTCTACCTTCAACACTACTGTCGTTGGCAAATATAAGAATACGTTGAAGTTAAAGTGCCCATACACGACACACAAGTGCGTTCGATCGATATGTGTGCGCATGCGGTTTACTCGTGTATGGGTTTGTACGCGTACCGATCCATGTTCACGAAAATTTTAGATATTTTTCGATCGGTGTGCGCACATGTGTGTCGTGAATGGAGTTGTGTGCGCACAAAATCTCATTTCTCTTGTGTCGCCGAACAGTGAACATCGCGGACGAACAATGGTAAGTGTTAATGGAGGCACCTGATTTAGAGGCTACAAAAAATCGATTTTTTTTGGGAGGGAAAGAAATAATTGATTCAAGCGAAAATTCTTGGCTTCATAGTTATATATTTGAACATCTTTCACAAATTTTTTGGATACGAAATCTTTGATATTCTACCTTTGGGAAGCAATTGGCCGATGCATCCCGCATGTGCATTTTTCGGACGGCGGGCAGAAAAAAATTCAAAGATATTCATATTTTTTAATAATTTATCTTCTAGTTAAACTAAGAAAATTCAAAAAAAAAGTGTAAAATTTTACTTTTTTTTTAAATTGAAAAAAAGTGGTTTTTGACCAAAAAATTTTACTTTATGTTGTTTAAAAATATGTTCAAACTTGACTTTTCTTAATTTTTTTTAGTTTAAATAGAAAATAATTTTATGCCAATGATAATAAACTTTGCCCTAATTCCATGTGACGTTTAGAATAATCGTAAAAATGAAAAACCAAAGTTTTCGCTTTTTGCCCAAGCGCTCATATATTTGTTAGACGCTCGGTCACTATTTCCCTTCTAGCTTCGACAAAATTTGAATTCCAATCTATAACTTTGGCGAAATATTGTTAGATATTTATTAAAGAGATTTAAGCAAAAAAAAATCGATTGTTTGAAGCTTCTAAAGCAGGCTGCCTTAAGCGCCAAATACACGACACGAACATTTCTGCGAACATTCCGCAATCTTGTTCGCAGCTTTGGCCATACACCATACGAACATGGCTTAACATTAGTTCTCTTTCAGACAGCGATGAATACGGACAACAGTTATGCTGCAGCAATATTGCTCGCTGCGGCAATTAAGCGTAGGAAAAAGAGAGAAGATCACAAAAAAAGAATTTCAGGCAAAGAATGTTCTTGGACAAAGTGAGCTTACTAAAGAACTGGAATTCACGTCACAGAACTGAAGAATCGGTTAAATTCTGCGCCAATGTTAGCATACTCAGAATCAGAGCCGTATTTAGGATACGGATTTATTGGGTGTGCAGTAGGAGGCGTTCTTTCACAATTCATTGAAAGGCATGAGAAGTGGTGAAGTAAGTCAGGATAGATTGTGCAGTATTAAAATGACTTCTACAACTCAGAAACCCAGAAGGACAGTAGGCACAATTGAATAAGAAACTCCAAATTTCGAACTTCTGTATAGATCATCGGAAAGGTAGTAGTCATGGAAATGCGGATGCGACGGCCGATGTCCCTGTACTTTGGTATGCAAACATTGCTCAAAAGCTGAACCCAAGGGTACATTATAGATTTCCGATTAATGACAACAACTTGAGACTGGGATTCGGAGGTGCTACGAAAATTACAGCTATAAAATCCAAATTTTAAATTTATAATACATGGAGTGGAGAAGAAGAAATAGCTGCATAAATCCCAGTTGCAAAGGCATATAGAGCACAATGGAGTAATTTAAAGTGAAGATGGGTAATGATCCCGAGATCTGATGATTGTTCCGAAAGCAAGAATTCCTGAGGTTCTCAACAAACTACACAATGGTCAACACTTGCAAATCACTAAATCTTTGGGAAAATTAAGTACATTGAGTACATTGCAGATGAAGGGAATAATAGAATTAAAAAGAATAATGATTATGCGACTTTAATCGAAAAATTAAAAGAAGTAGATAATGATGCCACAAAGGATACAGTTATAAAAGAAATAAGTATAGTTTGAAGTCTGGTACTGGTGCTGAGGTTGAATATGTTCCTACTTTTTGGTGCTATGATTTGCTATGCTTTTTGAAAGATCAAGAAGAACCTTTGGCAGGCGTTACCACAATGCAGGATGAAAATACAAACACATTTGAGGTAAGAAAAAAAGTCAAAATTATATTGTTTCTTTTTTTTTTTTTTTTGTGAACACAAACATTCATTTTGTTTTTATTCCGTAAATGCTTCACTTTCTTATATTTAATATATTGTTCTGCCACGAAACTACTCCCACTGTATTAAAATAATTACAATATTTTTCTCGAGTAGTTTTTGCTAAATTAAAGCGCAAAGTTAAAGTTGAGGGGGAATCGCTTCTCCAATTATTGTATCCCGTTTCGTTATGAGCAAATTATGGCAAAATTTTTTGTTGGTCAAATGTTGCCTTGCTCATACGAACGCAATTTTTAAAATCAGAAAGATATCCACTTCTGTTCTTTATGGCACTAAAAGACCGTCTATTTTTTTTTACATTTTTAATATTAAGCTCTCTCATAACCTTTAGAGATAGTACTTCTTCGTACTCGGATCGAGAATTTAAATTATGGATTAATGCTGGTCTCAGGCTGTGAGCTTCTAAGGCAGCAGAGTTTAAATTGTTAATTTTTATTGTTTCATTAAAAATGTTTACTAAAAATTATCCATTTAAATGTCTCGTTACATTATTACTTATAGTTAAATTTCCTTGAAAGTTATGTAGTAAAATTAATCCTGCTTTTAGTTCTTCAATGTTTCTTACATGCTCTTTTTCTTCTTGATTGGCGTAGTCACCGCTTACGCGATTATAGCCGAGTTAACAACAGCGCGCCAGT